CCCAAGAGAAAGAATCAGTAGACGACTGATTATGTGGGACTCAGACAATAGAAATTTCTTGGTTATTAAGTAAATGTGGGGTTGGAAGTGTGGCTCCGTTGGTAGAACACTAGTCAAATAATAAAAGCAAGTTCAGATCCCAGTCTCAGATCTAAAAGAAAAAAAAAAGAAATAATGTAAAATGTCCCTGATCATGAGATGAAGCAGGTGGAATATGTCTTATGGGAAGAGAAGGAAACAAAAGGTGCAATCCTGAGTTGGTGTTTGTTTGGCAGAAAAGGGTACATAAAATAGACTGAGAAGTGACAAATGGAAGATTGGAGGGGAAAAAAACAGTAAATGTGCATTTAACACGAGCACAAGATGTTATTAGTGACTGAGGTAAGATTATGTTGATAAACAATGGAGTCTAACAGTGGGGTTAAGGAATAGATTATAGATCGGGGTCTTTACTGACTAGAGTGTGAAAGGAAGGAGAGATATTAGTCAATATCTGAAGGAAGATGAGAAGGAACATGATCATAAAACTTGCACACGAGTGACTTAGTGAACAGGAAAAGATAAATAGGAGTCAAGGATATGTAGAGTTCTAAGTTAAATGAAGTGCTTGCACTGACATGGAAGTTGCTCAGGATGACAATAGAATTTCTGTGCCTGGGAAAAATATGTCAAATGCCAGAGCCCTAGATGACAGTGTCAGTGACAGAGAGGTCAATAAAGCACATGGGCAGGTGGGCAGTTCATTTGCCTTCTTTTGCCCACAACTTCTGCTGGTTGTTCTTCCACCAGAGTCATCTTTTTGGTCCTTCACCCACACTATTTTTTTCAGTGCTGGGGCTTGGTCTCAGGGCCTTGAGCCCTCAATTGGCAGTTTTGTCCACAGCTGGCACCCTACCACTTGAGTATGTCTCTACACAAGAGTCTCGAGGGTGGCTTTCTGTCAGGGCTGGCTTTGAATCTTGATCCTCAAGATCTCAGCTTCCTGAATAGCTAGGATTATAGGCATGAACCACTGGTGCCCAAACTTTCCTTCATCTTTTAAGATTCCACATTCTTTTGCCCAATCTCTGCCCCCACATACACAAAGAAAATAAAATAAAAAAACCCAAGCAAACGCCCTCATTTCATGGAAAACCATTTTCTTCTTCACTGACACATCAGATATGATTTCCAGTTCTATTTTCTCCTAATAATTTATCAATCTTTTCTTATAGGACAGTTCTTTTGGAAAATTGCTTATACCAGCTGCTTAGCACATATATAAGTAAACAATAATTTACATTTGGGTTTTACAAATACTAAAACTCTAGGCTGGCAATAGCTCTTAGTCGTAGATTTGCTGTGATTTGTTTGAATATGTCTACCATGTTCAAGCAATGAAAAACAAAGCAAAAACACGAAGACCCTAACCTGCTGGATTATCTGAATTAATGTCTTCCTGGCAATGGGTATGAAAAGACATATTTTTCATGCAATATTATCTTCACAAATAAGAGACAGCCAAAGCTGTAAAATTTATTTCTTCTTCACAAATTCTTAAGGATACCAATTTTTATTGGATTCTCATTCCAATTACTACTATATTAGTGTGACAAATTGGGTTACTGTATTTTCTGGGAAAATTACTTGAGTATTGATACTTAGAATATTATATTTTGTTAATGTTCTAATACATAAGCAATAAATTCTTATGTTGTGCTATGCCTTAGGGAAGTAGAATAAATTGATTAAAGTGAGAAGACCAGGGGACCAGCAAGTCCAGTAATAGTGAACTGAGTGTTGCAAAGTTCTCTTTAGATCTTTCAATACTATGTGAGGGCTCTTTAGCCTTTCTATCTGTGCTCCATTGGCTTTGAAGCTGAGGTAGCTTCAAAGTTTTACTTAAATGTTTTTTTTTAACTTTAACATGTTCTAAAAATCACATTTCTTTTGGGTGCGGGTGGCTCACTCCTATAATCAATACTAGCTACTCAGGAGGCTGAGATCTAGAGGATCAAAACTAGCCCGGGCAGAAAAGCCCCTGAGAGTCCATCTCCAAAATAACCAGCCAAAAGCTGTGCTGGAAGTGTAGCTCAAGTAGTAAAGCACCAGCCAAGGAAGCATAAGGCCCTAAGTTCAAACCCTAGTACTGCCCAAAATATTACATGCTTAAGTTTTATAGCAATTTATCTCATAGGGATCCAGAAATTAACCCTTTATATTGATAGAAAATTTTTCCATTTGGAAAAATATATTTTTACTCTACAAAAATGATAACTCTGTAACAAAAACACAAAACATTCTAAGACTTTACTGAAAGCTATCTTTAGAAGTATATATAAAAACCCAACCAAATCTTATTCCAAGTTCCTTAGTGATCATATCTTTCTCTGGCTAAGTCATAGCTGGGTATCATTATATAGAAAACTTTCTCATCCAACCAGAAAATAGATCAAATCTTTTTTTTTCTCACTATTGTTTCTTTTTAACCACTTTTTCTGCTGTTCTAGAAAAACCTGAAATCAACAACCTCTAGCTTTAATTTTATACACAATATGCTTAGCATACTCTCTAGGTCCTATTCATGAAAAGAAAGTGTTCTTGCTTCTGTGTAATTAATTCAGTTCAATTCACTCTTTCATTCAACAAATATTTATTAAGCACCTACAATATGCCAGGCACTGTGCTGGGTGCTGAGGATACAACTGTGAACAAGATAGACACAGTCCCTGCCCTCAAAGAGCTTACAGTCTAGTAGTTTTACAGACGAGTACACAGGCAATTACACTGCAGTAAATGGTGAGTGCTGTGAATGGGAAGACACATTAAGAATGGCACCTCACTCGGCTTCACAGTCAGGGCATGGTAGAGACTCATGGAATTCCTCCCAGGGCAAGTAAAATAGAATTTGAGTGTTGAAGGATGAGTGTGAGTTAAGCGGAGGAGACGGCGTTAGCTTAGAGACAGCACTTACTGTATCTGTGATATCCGTGTGCTGCTCATTTAGTGGAGGTTCATTCAGTGGAGGGGGAAGATGATGAGCAGCAAGAGAAGTCCTCGAAGAGATAACCAAGGGCCAGGTTTTAAGAGGGGTTCATTTTTGCTGCTTACGTTTTCCCAAGGGGACAGTGCATACATGCCTTACCAGATATATGCTTTCTAAGACTGCTCTTTCTGCTACACAGACACCAAAGTTATTGGTGGAGGTCTTAAGAGTTGATAGAAGAAAATCAATCCTTCACCTTAGCCATCTGAACTTCCATGATATCACACCCAGGTCTCTTATTAGCTTATCTCGTGGTATAGTATCCATTCCCCAAAGAAGCCATCGATATACATGACTTTGGGCGCTGCTTACCCACAATGCTCTTACCACCTTCTCCTCCAATGAAAACTCCACTCATCCTTCAAGGCAAGACTTTCGGGATCATCCTAAATTGTGCTTTCTGCCAAGATCTCTCACTATGCAGTTTTTAATCTGTATTATGGTACTTACTATTATTTTCAATAAACCAAACCTTCTTTTGTACCATGTTATTTTAACCCACACATAGCAAAGTATTTTCTATAAATAAATAAGAGTACAGTTTTCTTCACAATTTTCAGGTGAAAACAAAGACTAAGGATTGATTTGTTCATTTGTGGCCTACCCCAAGCTATTAGTGCCTTCAAAAGATATAATGGAAAAATAGGAATGAGAAGTCCAAAAAGACACATAGTTTTACGCAGCAAAATACAATCAAGTAAAAATTCCAATACACAGTTACAGGGAAAGTTGCTGTTAGGGCAATGATTAATTCCCAGACTCGACTCCATCTTTGACAATTTAATCTTCTAACAATCAAAGATCTGTAAAAGACAGCTTAGTGTGCAGAAAAGTAAAGGGCTAGCTACATTTTCCAATATGGTCCACCACTTGATTTCTATCATCCCTTGTATCCTCTCATAATTTCTCGGATGACTTTTATAATAGTAGAAAAAAACTTTTAAGCTCTGTAGATATTGTAAGAACATCTGTTGTTTTATTCTTTTTTTTTGGTGGGTACAAAAACCACAATTTTGTGCACAGAATGAGATTATAAATAATAGCAATAACGTGAGCGACCCGTAGTCTCTTTCGATTCTACCTTGACCGATGGTTTAACGTAGACAACTTTCTTCACTTTTTGCTCCTGGTAGTGAGACAAATGCAATCTGTGAACCGACTTGTGTTGACACAGTGAAAATTTGACACAGCAAACAAGAAGATGACCAACAACTTTTATATTAAAAAAAAAAAAAAAGGTCTCTAAGGTTTATTACAGTGATGGCATTTATATCAATTATTGCAATGTATTGTTCCCTAAGATGGTTAGAAAAAAGAATTGTGTTGTCCTCTATTGAATTTACGTCAGTTAAAAAGCAAGCATGTTTCAGGTATTTGTTTTTTGTTTTTTTCTCCAAAGTAAGTGTAAATACTTCCTTTAAATTTTTTTTCACAGGATTTACATGTTTGTTTATTATTTTCTTATCACAGTTTAGAGATTTGTTGTGTTCTCAGCTGGAGATGCTTCCATGGACTCTACGGGTGTTTTGCACACACAGGTTGAGCATGTTCGTGGACGGGTATAACTGTTTGAATCCCCTTCCGTGATGACCAGCGCCTTTCTGAGCAAGAACTTCACAGTTGAATACGCTAACTGGCAAGTCTGATTAGAGTTGGTTGATTTTGTTTTTGAAAGTCCACTCTTGAGTGACATTTTGTTGCTGTTAATACACCCAATTCCCGGCTCCCTCCCACCTGCTCCCCCCAAACAAGAACAAAGGAACAAACAAACAAACAACAACAAAAAAAACCACCCCTAAATTGTGAGTTTTCCTGATATAAAAATCTGAGAGTTTGGGTTTCCGAGCTGAGCTCATGCGCAGGTTTGCTGTTGCTGACATCCACCACCAGCTAGGATGCGATTCCTGCCCCCAAGGATGTCCAGCCGCGGGCCCCTCGGTTGGAGGGGAGAGGAGGGCGAGGGGGCGAGGGGGGAGGGCTGCGTTTCCATCAGTCATCATCAACACAGTTTAATTAAGGCACTCAATTATGTTTTTGGTTTTTATGGTAGGTCCGATGCAATGACAGCCAATCCTGAACTCTGTCTAATTGCAGTTCCAGTGTGGACGGCCTTTGGGCAGTCGGGCGTCAGGACTCGGCCGTTTTCTCCCACGCTCCCAGTGATGGATAACCTGGCTTTGTTTCTTATGGCTTCAGAAAAGGTCAGCTGGGTTGCATGGAAAGGAAACAGAAAGAATGAGGCGTGTCATAATGTTACTGTTTCTTCAACGACATGTGACACAACCAACATCCAAAAAAGAAAATAAATCCAGAAATAGTAATTAGACATCTGCATTTTCCATTATTTTTTTGTAAGTCCTATGCAAACTGCTTAGAAAGAAAGGAAAACTCCAATGACACCAAAGAACTAATCAGCCTGAAATTTATAGTCCCATCTATTTAAAAACTAATTCTTTAAAAAAAACACACACACACACAAAATTAGGTTTGTGTAGCAAATCTGGGTAGAGAGCATCTTTTAGCTTGCTCTACTTTATACCCCAGTACTTCTGGTGGAACTTCAGAGCTCCTTTAGTTTGGATAGTATTTTTGAAATCATAGTAGTTTCTTTTAGAAAATGTCTTCTTTACAGTGCAAGGATTCCACTAAATTGTTTTGAGAGGAAGTGACAGATTGTCTTGTTTCCTAAACATAGACCTATCCACAGACGATTTCATTCATTCACATGAGTTATAGACATGACTCAACAGCATGTTTAGTGACAGATAGTTCCCTCTAGGCCTATTATCAAACTCAGACTCCTGTTTTTACAGTCATTCTTAAAAGGGGTGTACCAAAGAGACATGTTTTGGTACCTCCTGCAAGATCACAGGGCACTTCTCTTATTTAGGGCATAGAATTAATTAGGTCTCTGGATTGCTCATTAAATACTTATTCTTGGACTCAACAGGTAACATTAGATAAAGAAGAAGCAGACAGTTTAATTGCATAAATCTAATTACTGTTCATTCATTTCTTCTATACTCTTTTCAGTCTCTTCAGTCTACGTTGACTCACAAGGAAAATAAGATGAAGGAGATATTCGCTATGCTCCTTTCATGACTTACATCAACTCTCCTAAAACTCATAGCTGTAATCCTATCTACTCAGGCTGCTGAGATCCAAGAATTGACATTCAAAGCCAGCCCATGCAAGAAAGTCTGTGAGACTCTTATCTCTAATTAACTACCAAAAAGCACTAGCTTTGAGCACAAAAGCTCAGGGATAGCACCCAGTCCCTGCATTCAAGCCCCAGGATCAACACAAAGCAAAACAAAGCAAAACAAAAAGCATTTTCAGAAGGCTTTTACCCTAAAGTCTATTTTATTCTTTCTTTCTTCCTTCCTTCCTTCCTTCCTTCCTTCCTTCCTTTCTCTTTCTTTCTTTCTTTCTCTTTCTTTCTTTCTTTCTTTCTTTCTTTCTTTCTTTCTTTCTTTCTTTCTTTCTTTCTTTCTTTCTTTCTTTCTTTCTTCCTTCCTTCCTTCCTTTCTTCCTTCCTTTCTTTCTTTCTCTTTCTTTCTTTCTGTCTCTTTCTTTCTTTCTTTCTCTTTCTTTTTCTTGTGCTTGTTAAGAAAGGAAAAGTTCCTAAACTTGGAAAACTCCATTCACTCTTGAACTCTTTCATTGATTAATGCAACTGAGTATAATAGTTAATGAATCTTGGACAAGTCATATTTGTGTGTGTGTGTGTGTGTGTGTGTGTGTGTGTGTGTGTGTGTGTGTGTGTATTGCTACTGGGGCTTGAACTCAGAGCAACATCTATTTTCTCTCTTACATTTGTTCTATCACTTTTATTTCCTATACTTATGTCACCTGCTTATTCCATAAAATGTCATCCCTGTTCATCTTGATGTGAACCCCTCCCCCCCGGGGCTCCTCAAGACAGAAAACTTCCTTGTAGGTTTACGTAGGATCTGAATCCGTTTGAGTTATGGTGGCTGTTTATCTGGTGATTCCAATACCAAATCTTATATTTCTTAAATAATCTTAATGTATCTGTTCTCTTTGAGGGATGATCACTTTGATTTAGATCTATTATGTAGTGAAGGTTTCAAATTGGGGGGGGGGGGAAGTCCTTGGAAAAATATTATCAAAATATTACCAACCATTTAATAATTTCACATACCAAATTTCCTTTTTTGTCAATAGAAGTTTTGAAGGGAAAAGCATTCATTTTAATTTGATAATAAAATAAAAATTGCTTACTTTCATGTGTTCTCTATAGGTGGAAAGAATTTCATTTACTCTGGAAACTATTGACTTAAAAAGAAAGCCAGATGTGAATGTTTTCTTTTCACTTGAAATATATTGCTTTTAAAAGTTCAAATTTAGCTTCCTAGGTCAATTTTAATACCAGTTTCCTACTCAAAACTATTATTACATGTAAGTTACATGTTCATGTAGGTAACCTGGGAATTCATATTTAGTTTATTAAGATCCCAAAAGTTTGTAGTAAACTGGCATCCATGAGTATTCCTTTTTATAATTTTTAATATTCTTTTTCCTCTCTGTTTCTGTACTGGGTCTTGCTAATGGCTGCCCTAGCCAAAAAAAACCCTCAATTTTAAAGGAGTAAGAAAAAAGTTTAATGCATCTTAAACAAATTCATGTCAAAATGCAGTTGAAATAGTTAACTCTGAAAACTGGTCAGGTATTGTTTTTCTCAGTGTCAAATATCTCTCCTCAATTCTATAAACATCAAGATGAAAGTATTCTCCTGATAGCTGGCAATGCTTTAAGTCATCTCATTTTCTTGTCCTATTAGAAGACATGCTCATCATGTTTTGATCTACAGGAATTGAGGGTCTAGTTCCTAATTTTTTTTTTTTTTTTAGGTCCAGTCGTGGGGTCTGAACTCTGGGCCTGGGCACTGTCCCTCAGCTCTTCAGCTCAAGGCTAGCGCTCTACCACTTGAGCCACAGCACCATTTCCGGATTTTTTCTTTTTCCTATGTGGTGCTGAGGAATCGAACCCAGGGCCTCAGGCATGCAAGGCAAGCGCTCTACCACTGAGCCACCTTCCCAGCCCTAGTTCCTAATTTTTAAAACAATAATTGGAAAGAACCACTTTGGAGTTGTTACTATTAACTTGTATTCAGCCATCAACTTTTGTATTATGGGTATAAGCATTTAGATTGTGGTGAACAGGGTTGGTAAAGATAGGAACAATGTTTATCTTTAATGATACTTCCATGATTTCTGTATCTATAAATCACATAATCATGGACATTTTTCTGGCATTAGATCAGCTGTAGTTTCTTACTAAAATGCTATTTGTTTTTTTTTTATTTTTTACTTCAAGGCACATCAAAAGCCCTCAATATCTCTTGAAGGTTCAGAAACATTTAGCATGTGATCATAATTGAACAGCCCATTCACTAAGCTATTATATGTAATTTTAGAAAATGGTTTTGTAGAGGCTTGATTTTTAGAAGAACAATAACAAATCCATTCAGGTGTTATTGGAAAAGCACTTTTTATAGTTACAGGAAAGATAAAGTGGGCATTTAGATTCTTTAAGAAACAATGGTCCCTATCTCCTATATTCCATGGGATGCATATAGTTTTTTTTTTTTTTTATTGTAAAATCATGAGAGGATCAGAGTAAGTGAGATCACTCTGGTTTGGTGGAAAGCAATTTTGATGGAAAAAAAGAAAGTGCAGAATAGCTCACTGTAATTAGTTTTTATCTTTTACTCTATCTGTCCTATGGAGCAGATATATTCGGGACATCTATGCTTAAAATGTCTATTCATACCCTTAGTCACATTATGAAAACAAAAGTTGAATTTCATCTAATAGATGTGTTCTAGCAATTACCCCTCTTCTCCCTAAAGTGCTGGCTCAAAGGACAATTGTCAGATGAACCAACAGCAGGGATTCATGCTTTAAAAATATAGACAGATAGCCAATGTAAAGCAAATTAGATGGGGAGGTGAGGTTCAGTGAGTTCATACTATGTGCTTTTGAGCTTTTATGTGTATTATTTCTTTAGAAAAAAATGATGTTATATATAAAAAACAACAATAACAGACAACTCTCTAGGTTTTGATTCAGAAGAGGGTTTTTTTTCCTTGTTAGTGTATGGACTAAATATGAGTTGTCGTACAAATTTGCCTGGTCGGTGTACTAGGAAGCCCAGATCTAATTTCCAATCTCTCCCAAATTTAAGGGAAGTCATACTATTCGAATCATCTTAGAGCAATTCTAGTTTGCTTTTGTCTTTCTGACTCTTGCAATGCAGATATCTATTGGCAACATAAAGTTTCAAACAGTACTTCTGCAGCCAAAGAAAATCGAACCACTTTGCACTCAAGTTTCCAAAAATAGAAAGCTCTAATTAGAAGCAAGCAAAATACCACCACTGGACAGACAGGTCACAACACCGCGTTCACAGGATGCATTCTCCACTCACTGTCATAGGCCCTAAATCCTACCCCTAAATTTTAATACTTTCGGTTCCATATACGTTGTAACCTTCTCTATAGGTTGCTAAATTCTGGGAATTCTGCGAGGAAGTTGGGTTAAAAGTCTGTGCACTCTTTGCCACCTTCATTTTCTTCGCCTCGGCCCTGGACTTGTAACAGAACTCTATCAAAGCCACCAGCATTGCCAAGCCCAAGCCGCCAACCAGAATGTAGAAGACGCCTGCTACGTTGCTCAGGCTCAAGGCACTCGTCTTGTCCTACAGAGGATAGAGACACGTGAGTTAATTGCAGGAACATCACATGCAACAGGTCAAAAGCACACATGAAATCCAAACAGCCAATTAAAGTAAATGCTTAATTTAACCTGAAAGTATTTATGAAGGTAAGTCACTGATGCAGGTTTATGGCTTGAAGCGTAAAGCTTATAGTTCTCAGAAGTGAAATTATAATTACCAATAAATTAACTGCCATTACATTTAATAAAATCAGTAACATTTTATTGCTATAAAATAGGCTGTGAAAACCACCATACTGAGCCATGTACAAGCATTTATATATTGACATAGGGTAACAGAAGTGGGCTTGTTATAGACTTTGAAAACGACATATTTAATATTCAATTATATGGGACAGGAGACCTCTTCTAGCATTATGTCTTTTAAAACATTAATCTAATGTTTAAGATTTCTCTTGAATACACTGAAGCTCCCTACTTCCTACTTAAGGATCTTTAAGCTAGTACTTTCACATTCTGCTCATCATCACTTTACCAAATGAAAAGTACACATCATTTGTTCTTTCAGATATGACTACTGGGGAAATCTTATGAAAAATGGCATTCTTGCATATTCTGTACTAGTTAGGAGTAATTATATATTATATAATATTCATATATCTATATAACAGGTAATTGTCCTAGACAATTTTTAAATTACCATGATCAACTGAGAAATAAAATATATAAGGACAAATTCATAATTATTTTTATAGGCTTGGAAAACAGAATTCTACTTCCATTTAGAAATGCTTATTCAGCTAATGTTTTAAGACAGCTTATTCTTTCGAGATCTACATACAAATTATTTTATCGTAAATCTGTAATGGTCAATTACCTAGAATTTAGAATTTTTCAAAAATTATAAATTGGACTTACTATGTAACATAATTCCAAAAATATTTTGGCAGACAACCTGAAGATGGCTCTGTGGTCATCTTTTTCTCAGCAATATGTTTTGTACAGAATGTGATTCAGATCTTAAATAATTTTTATTAGAAGAGTATTTAATTCAAAAGATACATTTTAGTGTCTACTAAGTCATGATACCAACTGACCAGGCCACAAATTTTTTTGGGGGGGTTGTCTTTCAAATATAATCACTTATTAATGATTTTATAATGATTAATGGTTTTATATACTTTACATTAAGTTTTACCATTTCATTATCTGGCTAAGCTTTTCTCACTCTACTCTGGCTCAAAGGTAGACAGAAGTAATTAAGTGTAAGACCTGCAAAGGGATTGACTAACTTGACTTTGTCTCCTTCTTAAATTAATTGAAGCTCTCCATTTAAGCCAGTCACCTGTTTAATGCCTATGAATAACCAGTAATTAGTTTTCTTCCTAGAAGAGATTATGGGGGAGGGGAAGAAAAGAGAACTCCAAGAATCTTCAACTGACTTTGAAACAATTCTGTTCTATTCATGTGTAGATATTTTGACTGATTGATAAACTTGTTATATTTGTTAACAGAATAAGAACAGAGCTGTTGTAGTCAATAGACTTTGACTTACGGCTTTCTTCAGTGTTCTGAAGAGAACTACTGAATGAAAGGTTTTAAACTCAAGGAAAGTATGTGTAAATATTAGTGTAAAAATAAAGAAATTTCAAATGGGAGAATGCAACTGGGAAGCTTATCTGTTTGTCAGGCCAGAAGTTTAACAGGGCCCTGGAACTAAAGTGGAATGTGTGTGGTAAATGATAACAAAATACTGAACTTTAGTATTTATCATCTTTTGTTTTTGGGCGACTACTCATCAATTTTTGTGACGGGACTATATTAGCGCTTGAGGTAATAATGGTCTCTCTCTCTCTGAAACAAAACCTTAACCGTAAAGAAAAACACAGCTTTCATTAGTGGTACGTAATTTTGAGGATCCTATAAACATTTTTATTTTGAGGTTTTTTTTAATAGTTAATTTTAGTTTATTCTAAAACCTTACTGTTGGGGAATAAATAGGTTGCAGTTTCCTAAAGAGACGGTCCCTGTGGTTGAAATCTATGGCATTGTTTTCTAATTCAGGCAGTGGCTGGGAGCATAGAGAAACAGTGGTTTTTACGGTTTTCATAGACTTTGTGAACGCAAGAGGAGGCCCGAACTTCAGCGACTGACCTTGCTTCCCGAGTCCTTGGGTCCACATTCACCTTTATCGTACCACCATTTGTTTTTCAGCTTGTCTAAGACGCCTGCCTCACTGAGTTTCAAAACGGCAAGGTTTACAGGAGTTCTTCACGTGGAAAATAACATAAATAACATTATATATGTTATTTTATGTTATTCAAGTCAAACTACATAAGAATCGCATGGCAAAGTGACAGAGCAGAGGCCACAGTGGGTGCTATGTCTTATACCGTAGGCCCACGTTAGCATCAGACATAAAACTGGGGCCTGCTCCATCGCTTTAGGTAACAGGCACATACTGCTAGGGAGAATTGATAAATAAGATGTATGCAATTACTGTGAATCCAAAACTATTGGCTCAGAATAGGCTTTCTTTTTAATTCTCCCTCCCCACCCCACCCCCCCCATAAATGTGGCACGCATTCAAAAACCTTTTCCCTTTCAAAATAAATGGAAGTAGGTGAAGGTTGACAGACTTACACAGAAGCTACATAGGACTGACTCCAATTCTTAGGTGAGTGCTTTGTGACTCACTCTAGTGTATGATTGTACTTTATGCTCTAAAAATGTCAGAAGTATCCATCAATAAACTGACTCCATAACATCTATTATCCAAGACCCAATGCACAGTAGGTTCAGTGTGTCGACTAGGGTCATTGATATTTTAAAGTATAAACCCATATTGATATTTTCCTGCTGAATTGCAGTATTTAACTCAATTTTCATCTATCCTTTGAGTTTACCACATTAATATGCTCCAAGTACAAGGTCAAGTGACTATATTCACTCACTAATTAATGAACAATAAATAAACAGTAGTCTGAGGTATTTTTTTTCTGACTAGACAAACTCCTCTGAACTAGAATGTTCTTTTCTCTTTCCCCCACTTTCCTACCATCTTTGATTCCTTTAGTATTAAATATCATAGAAAGAGTTGAGAAAGAAGATGTCAGCCATCACGCAGTGTCACTTTTCAGAGTAATCTTTTATAATAATCCCAAACCTACAAGCTGAATGACATAACAAGCCCTGGGATCCTGTATTGCCCGTGTTCTTGTGCCCAGTTGCTTTCCATTTCATTTTACTGGAGACTGGCAGCATACTTCAACTGCCATTTTGTCTGGCTGAATGGTTCAGTAACTCACTTCTAGGGGATGTTGACTGCATTCAGTGGGATGTAAGTATGCCTTTACTTGGGTCACCAAAAGATGAATTCCACAAGCTTCCACTGAGGTAGAGTATTAAAAATGATGGTCATAATGATAGCTAATATTTACTGTGCACTTGCTATGAGCCAGGCATCATGGAAAATATCTTTACTACTCTCACTCATGCTTTATAAGTAAAGATACCAGGGCAAAGAGCTTATTCAACTACATACATAGGTATCCACTACTGCTGGGGTTTGTGGTCATGTAGCTTCATAGCATAGTCCATGCAATACATAACCAAAGACTTAAGACAAATGGGTTTCAGGATAATTGAGTGTTCTGGTTAAACGTTAAACCTATTCTCTCTAATGTTCATAATGAAAAATATTTCTAAAATATGTTTCTCATTTTGAAATGTTTTCAATGCAATTTAAAATTTGCATTAATCTTGTAGTATCTCATATATGTATGATCCTAGAATATTTTTTGAAATTAGAATCCTGCATAAGCATTATCTGATTCTCTTTTAAAAAGCTGAGTTTGAGCATAGGAAATTGGGGAGCTAAGATTAATTCAGTGAAGCTGGGTGCCAGTAGCTCACGCTTATAATCCTAATTACTTAGGAGGCTGAGTATCACAGTTTGATGCCAACCAGGGCAGAAAAGTCTGTGTGACTCTTACCTCCGATTAACTACTAAGAAAGCCAAAAGTGGAGCTATGGCTCAAGTGGTAGAGCACTAGACTTGAGCAAAAAAGCTCAGGGACAGTGTATGTGCCTGAGTTTAAGCCCCAGGACCAGCATTCCCTCTGTCTCTCTCTCTCTCTCCCTCTGTCTCTCTCACTTGGTTAATCAAAGTTTAATTGCCTACTACTCTCTTACCTTCATGTTTGAAATGACTACAAGAAAACTGTCCCTGTGGGATGTCTGGTGCATTATTAACCTCAGGAAGCAAAGGGGATTCTTCTCATTCACGTTATAAGACAGTATTTACCAGAGTAGCTGTCTCAGAGTAGGTGCTCCCTATACTGAAATTTCTTTAAACTCAGAGGAAGCCTTGTCTTTGAATTAATACTCTAAGAGATCGTATTTTTAATTGGGATTTATGTTACCCAAACTGCGTCTCTAAAAACCTTGAGATCAAGCAATCCTCCCACCTCAGCCGCTGGTACCTGAACCTAAATAAGGGATTTTAAGTCTTCAAGCTTGCTCATCTGTTCCTTTACACAAAAACAAAAACCAAAACCCCACAGGTGAACTGTGTTGGCCCTTACTGGCACTTCTTGACTGGCATGAGCTGAGAAGAGAGAAACCAGAGATGTAAGGAATCAGAGACTCTCCTTGAGCTCTCCTCTAGGAAAGACAACAGAAGACAGTCTGTGGATTAGACGAAGCCCAGCTTTCAATGAGCTCTGTCATGCGAGAGGTTCTTTTCTCCCATTCTCTTCTTTTTAATTCTGCTGGTTGTTTCTGTCCCTTCCACAGGATGTCTTTGTCACTCCAGCAGCCTGGTCTCAGAGGACAAGTTCAGATCGGCAGTTTTGAATATAAGGCTCTTATTATTAGCCAAACTTAGTGTTCAACTGGTAGAAACACAGGCTTGAACAAGAAATTCAATACTGAGAGACACTCCAAGGGCCAACTATCTACTGTCTCTCCTCCTCCCCAGCCCGCCCCGCCCCCAGTTTGCTGACTGCGTTATCTTCTATACTCTGAATCCTGCATTCGTTTTCATGGCTGTCATGATGGGGATTAATTCATTTGTAGGTAACAAACCAGAATAGGGTTGTCGTCTTCAAAATGTCAAATCATGACCCTGAATTGTGTGATCTGATTTAATTTCTACATTATTTCACAATTGTATCTACAGAATGATTTTCATCAATGTCTATATCCATGAGTATTTATACAATTTTATATCTATAGTGAGAAAATTAATGCTTTAGCTGTTATTAGTGCTATGATGACTTATGGTTACAGACATTGCCAAAATTCCCAACTAAAATCAAGATTTAAAAGCTCAGATAGTAGCACAAAAGTCTGTGTATGATTTTTTTACTTAGACTAAGCCATATCAGATTAATCGAAAGGGGAAAATTTGTTTTATAAATTGTAATCTGTAATTTTAAGTTGACCCATTGCCAATCAACATATACATATATATGTATGTGTGTATGTTACTTGCGAGAATGAGTATGAAAGCTTTGTGACAATATTGAAGGAGCAAACTTTCAACTCCCCCCTACTTCATTGCATCTTTTCCTGTAAGACATAAGACCCTGTCACTCATATCTCCTGTTGACTTTTCATGACTAAAGATTGTTATGATGAGAACCTGGCAGAGTTGGGAATGGTTGTCAGGTAAGTGGGGTGCTAATTATTACATAGTATGATAGGAAAGCTGCCACAGAGGCTTGAAGACTTCAGCTGTTAGGTATATTAAATCCTATGTGCCTTGAGGGAAAAGACAGTGAGTAATTTTCTCTTTCTCCATAGGTCCTGACACATTACCCAGCTGAAGCATAAGTTTAATCATTTGCAGCTGAATGGAAACGGGAGCTGTGTGCTCACAGGGCTCCCCTGATCCCCACGATTTCCATCCTGTGAGTGGCAGGCAAATCACTGCATCATCACAGGAACTTTCCTTCCCTTGGGAGGAACAGGCTTCCATTTCCCACCTTTCTTGAATAAAACTGGTAAGAAAATTAATATTGTCTGTGTCTCAAAATCCCGTAAGCCAGGATTTTTAGCAGATTTGCATCATTTCTCTTTACTGTCATCATGCAACGTTTGTCTCTCCTGAGTTAACTTTATACTCAACAAAGGCTTCAGAGCCAGCTGTTTCACTCAACCTAATACATTTCCTCCTCCTTTTTCCTCTGTACAGGAAGATCAGCCGAACAGGAGGAGTGAGGAAAGTTTAAAAGAACACCAGTCACCTGAAGACAGTACAGAATGGAATTGGAAAGGCAACAGCTCTCTCCTGTTTACTCAGATGCAAGTTAGGTCTGGCCATTTAAAATACTATCTTTTATACAAATTCAAGGTAGGGCATTATTATGATTTACATTGCAACAACTTTTTGCTCTTATGATAAACATCATGACAATATACAACCTATTAGGATTGTTTAGAATGGAGTTTGGAGTATGTAATGCCAGATATCCTGATATGCCATGTAAATGGAGTTAAGTCTCTCTCTGAATTTATGTGGCCAAGTGTGGGAACTTGTAGAACAATCAGGAACCTGGAGAAAAGCAGTTTTGTTGGGGGGTAGAATTTTTTACATTTGAAAAATGTAAAATGTATCTTAAAATTTTCACTCGTTTTGCATATCAATTGATGGTAGTTTCTCAGTCAGAATTTTCTCATCTAGTAATTATTTTCTTTAAATCTAAAAACTCTGCCATACATAAGGAAGGATACTAGTTTATACTTGCCAATTGTATACATTTTTGAAATCTACTTAGAAATATAAAAACATTTTGTGAAGTGAAAAATATGTCTAAGGTGAAGACAAAGAAGTTTTTTTTCTTCTCTTCGATCATTTTTGTAATTGATGCATTCATGGAAGGTGAAAACTTGTAATTCTATTTGGAGTTGTTACTGAATTCAAATGGAAGCCCTGTGAATTTTTTTTTTTTGGGTCCAGTTGTGGGCCCTGGGCGCTGTCCCTCAGCTCTTTAGTTCAAGGCTAGCGCTCTACCACTTGAGCCACAGCGCCACTTCCGGCTTTTTTCTTTTTGCTTATGTGATGCTGAGGAATCGAACCCAGGGCCTCATGTATGCAAGGCAAGCGCTCTACCACTGAGCCACCTTCCCAGCCCCAGCCCTGTGAATTTTATGTGGGAAAAAACCACCTTTTTGGAAGGTTCACTAGATGGTCTAGATGGAGTCAGCTTATTGCTGTTACTTAATATTTGGTAGAAGTTCTGGCCAAGTAAAATAAGAAAACAA